GGGCTGCATCCAAAGCAGTGTGGGCAGCAGGGCCAGGGAGGGGATTCTGCCCCTCTGCTCTGGTGAGACCCCACCTGGAACCCTGCATCCAGCTCTGGGGTCCCAGCACAGGAAGGACGTGGACCAGTGGGAGTGACTCCAGAGGAGGGCCAGCAGAATGATTAGAGGGATGGAGCATCTCTCCTATGAGGAAAGGCTGAAAAAATTAGGATTGTTCAGGTTGCAGAAGAGAAGGCTTCAGGGTAACCTAATTGTGGCCTTCCAGTTCCTGAAGGGAACCTAAAAGAAAGCTGGAGACTGTTTATTAGAGCATATAGGGATAGGACAAGGTGGGATGGCTTCAAAGTGAAAGAAGGTAGGTTTAGATTAGATGTTATGAAGAAATTCTTTACTCTGAGGGTGGTAAGGAACAGGAACCCTTGCCCAGAGAAGTTGTGGATGCCCCATCCCTGGAAATGTTTAAGGCCAGGCTGGACAGGGATCTCTGAATCCTGGCCTAGTGGAAGGTATCCTTGCCTGTGGTGGGGGGTGTTGGAACTAGATTATCTTTGAAGTCCCTTCCAACCAAAACCATTCCATGATTATGCCACAATCAACATTTGGGTATCAAAGGATTCTTGTTTGTTTGTTTATAGGTAAGGGATTCATAATGCTGAAGTCACCTAAATAATTATGGCTTATATAAAATCGCTTGTTTAAAAGAGGAATGATGTTTCAAGAATAAGCTTATCTAATCACTCCCTTCCTTCCATGAGATACTTTATATAAACTATTGTTGAATTGCACATGCAGAAACAGCACCTCTTGGGCCTCTTTAGGTCAAAGATAATCCCTTGAATTCCCCTTGCAACAACCAGGCAGCCTGGTCACATCCAAGTGCAGAGGTATGACCCCTACTCACATACATTCATTCAGACTAAGCATAACTGCTTACCTTGGCAGGTAAGAGCTGAAAGTCTCACTTATGGAGACAGAAGACACACTGAGCACTCACTGCTCTCCAGGCTGGAGAGGAAGGAGAAGAATAGCAGGGTGGGAATCTGCAGGTGGATGGCCAAGAACTGCACCAGCCACACAAGCCACAAGAGCATGTGTAATCACTAAGAGAGATCATAAGGTCTGATTCTGGGGAGTGCAAGAGGTAGAAATATTGATGAGGGGGAAAGATGGCTGAGTAGATGGGCTGGTTCAAATAGGAAAAAGAAAATTAAATCAGACTAAGCAGAACCTCAACAGTCACAGGCAAAGTCACCTGGACTTAGTCACCTCCTTTTTTAACCAGTCTTTCTGAATTAGTAAGTCATGCCTGAAGATTAAACACCATGTATCTGCTTTCTAGAGTGACTGTGCTACTACCCCAAATCCTTTTAATTATGAAACCTCACCCATCATTCACAGTGGATATTTAAATAGTATTTTCTGTATGAGAATGCTGGTTTTTAGTATGTGTATTAGGATGCAGGCATTGTAAGGGTGGGTCTGAAATCCTACTGGGCTTCATGCCTTAAAAACCCAAAGGAAAAAGACAGCAATCTATGTCTCCAACAATCTGTAGTTCAGGTATACCTAAAATCACCAGTCAAATTTAAAATGATGGACTTAAAAGCAAAAGATGACAAGACTGATAATTTAACTGTTGTCCTGTTTTGAGTGGTACTGTGGCAAAGAAAAAAACTTTTAAGAAGGATTTGATGGTGAATTAAAAAATGGAGATGCCCAGAGATCTCCTACAGTGAGGGAAAACACAGAAGAAGCTAGCAAGTGCTTTGCTTGCAGCATGCACAATGCAGGCTGGCATCATGGACTTTGATATGGGAATTCACTTCAACACCCAAAGAGAAACTAATAGTGGGGATGGGACAGTGTCCATGGCTTTGCAGAAGAGTACAACTAGATCACAACCATTCTGTTCAACAGAGAGGAGAAAATCAACAATACACATGAAATGGTCAAAGTAGTGACATTGTCAAAGCAGAAAGAGAGAAAAATTATGTTAGCAGTTTTACTTCGGACAGATTTCACATACTGAAGCCACTACAAGGCCAAAGATTACTTCAGGTGAGGAGGTAATGGATGAATTTCATATGTAGGGGTGAAAACAAGAAATGTGCATCTTCAATGCAGGACTTGAACTTAACCAGAACATTAGCTTGGGGAAAAATCAAAGACAATGCCCCAGAATATGGGGCTCAAAAGACTGGAAACACAGGGGTTTTATTCCCATTTACTAAAGAGAGAGGGGAAAAAACCTTTAGGAAAAAAGTCATGACTCACCCAGTAGCTCAAGAGGTGAGCCCAAGAGTACAGTTTGGACTAAAGGAGACAACGTCGTTTTTGGGATGCAGCAACAAGCATGCAGGAGCAGGATTTGCATTCATGGACCAGAAGAGAAGAATCGAAGACAAAGAAAATCTCCCTTACACTCAGAAATTATTTTTAGATTGCGAAAAGTAAGTCTGAGTCTTTATTTTTAAAGTTAACTGTTTCCCATTGCCCAGGAGGAGGTTCTGCCGCTCACAAAATTGAGCCTGACAGAAGTGACTTTGTGCTGCATATTCCACTCAGTTTGCTCCCACTGAGACTTGTGGTGAAGTCTGGTGACACTGTGCAGTAGCACCCTGGTTCACGGATGCAAATTTGAGGGGACACAACTAGTTCCACCAGCTACAGGCAAACAGCAGCAGTACCACAGTCCATGGCTGAAACAAGCATGATTTTCTCTTGATTCTTAGTTTCAGCTGCTCACACCTTGGGATTCATGGCATCCAGTGTGACAGATACTTGACAAAAACACTTAGAACAGAGAAGCTGTAAGGTCAGCAAATATTGACATCACGTGTTACAAGGGAACAGGGTAATTAAAAAGGGAAAAAACAAATGGATCATCTCAAAGAGCTCCTAATATTCAGAGCCTGGAAAACAGATCAGCTTTAGCCACCAAAAAGAAAGTATTTTCAAAGTATATACTGCCCTCTTGTGTACAACTCGGTATTAAATCCAACAGCTGCAACCTATTTCAAAAACTGAAAGTAATGTGGCATTGTAGTGTCCCAGATAATGTAGGAACAGTGGTAAAATCCTGGCACTAGGGAACAAATTGAAGAGACCGTTCAGACCAGGGCTGTCATCAGTGAGAAAATGATCACTGCTATGGGCCTTCATCCATCTTTTATGAAGATCATGCTAGATCCCTAGCACCGGAAGCCATGAGAGCTGCAGAGCTCAGCAAAAGGCAAAGCACCCCCAAGCTGCCTCTGAGCCCCACCACAATCACAGATTGTACACAAATGACTGACTACTTTAACTAAAAGTAATTTCTTCAAATTAAAGCATCTAACAAACAACGAGTTTGGCCCACTCCTGCTTAAATACTTACCTGTGCCAGGTTAATTTCTTTTTTTGATTATTCTTGATACCTTCTTCAACAGTTCTCTTCTTTTGGAAAAGAAAAAAAAAGGATTTTAACTGTATTAAAAGAACTTCAGTGTGAAAAATTAACTGTTTATTTCAGTTAAACAATGCTATGCTGTGCAGAGATCCTACTGCACTAGTATACATCACTTCTCAGCGTAATGAAAGTTTTATTCACCACTAAGTATTTCCCCTCTGCTTTTTAGTTTAGCTTGCCCTTTTCAGAAAAGCAGGTCCTCAAGCAACTGTGGAGCCAAACTGAGAGCAAATTCATAGCCACAGTGAAAGGTACACAATCTCTGTTTCCCATTGCAAGTCATACTTGCATGCTGTAAACATTAAATTGAAAAAGTCTCTTAAGATCACAGTAATATTGATTTCAAAATAATACATATTTGCCTTCTAGTCATACCATGGCTTTCTAACACAATTAAAAAAAATAAATTCAGGTAACTCAGTTACTATTTGCAAAAAACCAGCATAATCTTTATAAAAGTTAAGTAAAAACGTATGGAGCTAAGTAGATGTGAGTAGCCAAATTCTCATAATGTTTACATTGCACACTGAAGAAGAGCATTATTGCTGAAATAGATTCTTTATTTCCTGAAACATTCCAAAACAGCAGTATACACAGTTGTAATCAAATATTAAGTCATATGCCATTATAAGAAAGCATTGATTAGTGCAACTGGATTTTGTAAAAGATCTATCAAAAAGATTTATTTGCATTAAAACTCATTTTCCATAAGCAACTGTTAATAAAACATTACAATTTTATTCTTTGTAATAAAGTACTGAAAATCAGCAGTAGTTTTAGAGATCACTGTACCTTTGTAAGTGCAATGTGATTTATGCTGCCATTTAAATACAAAACACTGTGACAATAAATTAACAATTCAACAAATGGTGATAGACCAACAAAACCATGCTGACCCAGCTGGGTGGCAATTTCCAGTGAATGCTACCTTTTTTGTGCTTCTGCAACATAAATATACTGCTTTGTATTGCCAATTGGTAAGATTTTGTAAGATATGTTTCTAGCACTAAAAAAGTACATTACCCCAAAAATATTATTTATGGCACAGAAAAAGTTAAATTATCTCTCTGTAGTTCAAGGTTCAGGCAAGTTTAAATGAACTTAAGTATACAAAATAAAATGTACTGAAAACACTAGAAAAAAATTCAAGCACATACATAAGTACCCCAAAATTCAAAATAAATTGTGTGATGCCTTTACACTGAATAAATTATCTCAGAACTTCAGTATGGCAAAGCTGCCCAAAAACAAAATATCCTAGTTCGTTCCAAGGAAATATTCTTGTATTTTGCACACATATAATACTTTCTTCAGTTCCAAATGTCAACACTGCCATTGTTAGTCTGATAACAATGCAGCTCTTCAGGTAACTGATTAAGTGCAATATTTAGTATTTGATAAGATGTTCATTTTTTAAAAATGACATGGCATTTTAGATGGTTACACATTAAGATCCTGGGGAAAATAATACTGTATGACCCTCCTTTTCCAAATCATTGTTACCCAGCCAGCTGGGTAATGAAACACATCATGTGTTTTCCACTGTCGCGGGGCATCCTTCATCAATAGCAGCCGTCTCTCCAGTTCCCATCTCGTATCGTGCTCAGTGATGACAGTGGCTTTGGAGGCTGAAGAAAACTGTATTAAACGAATGACAAGGGGGGAAAAAAGGAAAAGGACGTCATATTTCCTGTGAAAGATCAAGGTAAAAGACATTTACTTCTGCAGTAACCATGGCTTTGGGGCTTGCTTAGAGACATCCCTCTGGTGCATTTCTGGCTACATATTAACGCACATATAAAGATCTATGGTGAAATTAAGGCCACTTCCAATGAGAAAAGCATGAAAGATTTGTAAAAAGTAATTGAGTGAATAACTGTAGTCATGAATGAGATGCCTCTAAATGGCAAGATTTGGTTTTTCAGGGCTAAAGACAGTAAAAACGTATTTTTGTCACTATGGGCAGCAGAGAGGTAATGGGAAACACTTTCCAAAAAGCTATTGTGCTCAGCATGCTCATGAAAAAACAGCAGCTTATAAAAATACCATGCAAGCAGCAAAGAATTTTATCGGCTGGAGAACTCCACCAATTTCTGCTCCCTCTTTTATCTGTCACAAGACATGTGAGGATGTGTTTCCAGAGCTACCAGTTCCAGTACTAAAACTCCTGATGGGAACTCCTCATCCCCTGGGTCCCCACCCTCACACCTGGGCTGCATCTCTCACTCATCAATGAGGACTTCTAAAACACTTCCTGACCATCTTCCAAACCCTCCAGGTTTGGCAGGTAACTAAAAAAAAGAAAAAATAACCATCTGACTTGATCTAAGTACTAGCAACACAGAAGGCTCTGTACTTAATTTGCCACAACTATAATTTTGTCACACCCCAATTTGCTGAAAAAAATATGTTTCAATTTTGTGGAACTATTTCATATAAAAGCAGACCTCAAGCCTTGTTTTCACACTATTCTGCTTTTGTTGTAAGTTACTGATGCCTCCTCTCCCTTCCAAATGCTTTTTTGCTGTTACAAGGCAGAGATATCTTGTAAAGCAGGCAGTCGCTAAGTCAGTCAACAGAGCAGCTTCAACTCTCTGCTACAACTGCTTTTCTAGTAGCAAAAACAAGGCACCTAAGTAAAAACACTTGGTTAAAGTTAGATTCAGCCAAACTGCTTTTGAGCAGGTCCGCTTCAGTGCAGCATCATTTATCTTTGATGTAAATCCAGTTACTTGAAACTAAGAACATAATCTGCCTCTGTTTTCTGCAACTGCTGCTTTCATTTCCAGAGAAAAAAGAAAGTATGTTTAATAATCTCCAAAAAAAAAACCCAGACCAAAGAGGAAAAAAAAAAAAATAATAATTAGCTAACTTAAAAATAATTGTAAGAATACTGCTACGTATCTAGAGGTGAATCTCTGCTACAGGGCACTGACAGAAAAAAGTGCCAGCAGAGAAAAACCATTTCAAACAAGCACAAGCTGTCAGTATGACATCATGTTGTTTGAGACAACAGAGTTTTGGAGGGGCCATAGTGCATTTCTATTTTTCCATCACCAGCTGGATAGCAGCAACTGGCTCCAGTACAAGGCAGCAGGAATAAGCAAGCCCTGGCTCCACGGGTATGCTTACATTCCTGCCACGCTTGTGCCTGGTATCTGGCATGATCCAGACCCTGAGCTGCTGACTGACATCCTGACTTTAGCTGGAACCTGTCTCATCACTGTGGCCTTGTCTGGAAACTGGGAGTGTTGGCAGACCCTGCTCACCATCAGTGCTGCTCTAGGCTGGGCACTGCAGGGCAGCCCAGCTGTCCCACTCAGATGCCTGCTCACCCTGCCCCAAGAGCAGCTGCCCCCACTTCCCTTCACACTGCATAAGGTTAAAACATAGGGAACTGGAAGGTGGGGTCTGCAAGAAGCCTCTCAACTGGAGCTGGAAAGGGATGAGGGTTGTGTGGATCCACTCAACAGGAGCAAATAAAAAAAGGTGCTGTCTGAATTTTAAGTATAAGAAGAGACGGATTGCACTATCACAATTTCTTTACACTGCTTGAATCACTGATGGTAAGGAGAAAACCAGTTAATATTTAGTTATTTTTCTCGTCCATTATAATTTTTTATTACAAATTATTAAAAGCACTCCCTCATCCAGTGTTTTATTCTATGCAGTAAATACTAAAGTTCCCTAATGCAACCCCAATATAATGTTGCTAAGAACCCATTTTAATTTTCTAAAATACCAGTAACTTGGCTACTTAACAGTCTGGCCAAAGTTAGGAAGACAGATTTGCTCTGAGTGTGCACTTCTCCCTAAACATCTGATTTATTTAAAAAAACAAAAGACCTGTTCTATTTTTAATCAAGTCATGACTACAAACACTATTTAAGTTTGAAAGAAGACTCTTAAACTGATAATCAGAAATACCATAAATTAGAAAATACCACAGTGAAAAAAAATGACAACTGAATTCCAAGACAAGTCTGTATGAACTGAAACTGCTTGTGTTTTTCCAAATGGATCTATAAAATGGAATAAGGGCGTTGAAGAACTGCAGGCTGACATTCAGTCTACCTGTTTGTTTCGAGTCCTATGAACTCCACACTCCCACAGTGCAAAGACCATTCATCTTCACTGATCACTGTTTTGGCTCTATGGCAACACAGGATGAAGCTAAGGCACATTTGAAGGAAAGGAGACAGGAGCCCAGACTTCCTGGACTATAAATAGCTTTGTTACTGATTTGAATCACCTTCTGATAAAAACTACCGTCTGAGAGTAGAGTGTCTCAGTCTCCCACCAAAACCTCTTAATTTTGTTTTTCTTTAATATTGTCTGTTGTATGAGAAGTTAGAAAATAGCAAAGGACTGGTCTTCATGACCCAGAAAGGCTTGCTCACATGTTGCTATGAAAGATTTAAGAGCTCTGCAGAAGAACATGAAGTAGAGGAAAGGAAAAAGAAAAAAGGAAAGAAAACCCTCAGCTATAAAGAAGTCTAACTGAGAGAGCTTCCTGCTGAGAGCAAAGAAGGTTATAATAGAAATCTCATGGTACAGTCTTCATCAAAGAAGAAACCTGACGGCTCTTTATCAAAGTTTCACCACAGTTGGTCAAAATCTGTTGTTAGTCACATCAGTGTAATCCCCAAATAACTCAACCAAAGAGAGAATGTGAACAATTGAACTTATTCTGGATCTAGCCAGTATGTACTGAAATGTACAAAAATGATGAGAGCTAAACAGTGACAGCTCATCCAACAGAAAATGAAGTGGTCACACAGCAGGCCCTCACAAGAGGAGGGATGTATGCAATGCAAAGAAATAGCTGGAGGAGTTAACACAAGTTGAGAGAAGTTTTTCCTTGAAAAGACTGAATTCCTATTAATTACAGAACATGCAGATAAGAGTTTAACTCCCAGCTATGATAAGGTGATTAAAACACATCTTTCATCAAGGCTATTTTATTGCTTGACCTAAAAATAATTAATTTGAAGATTAATTTCTCTCACTTTTTTTGCACGCAAAATTTGCATTTGCTTAACAGTACAGCTTATTGCAACCATGTGATATTCCAGGATTCCCTGTGCGCCTATTGTCTCCCAGCTGGAATCGAAAATATGTTGGTTCAACCCATGACCATACTATCCAGGGTATTTCCTTCTTCACAATGCTGTAATGGCACAATTTGCATTTTTACAGACTACTGCCATTTACAACAACAGGGATTTGTTCTAAGATGAATTCTAAGATAATTCTAAGATTTGCTCATGCCATGACACTGAAATAGCAGTAGTCACAAGGCAGGAAGAAGGTAAGCCACATCAGTTAATGGTATGAGGTTTGTGTTTCTTTGGATTTCTTACTGACAGGTGGCAATCCATTCCTGTTTACATGTGATTACACACTATCCATCATCAGAGTTTACTAGGGGCTACCAGCATGCATTGTCCATCACGATTTCTGCCAAGTGATCTTCACCCATTCAGTGACTCAGCACTGGGAGACAGAAGCTTATGTTTTACAGTTCCATATTCAGGAGATAAAAAATTTACACAATTTAAGCCTAAGCCTAAATCAACCACACAGAGACTGAGGCCTGTTTAACTCTCACCTTCGAACTGGCTGTGCAATTTTACTTCTGGGAATGCCACTCCCATTGACGGCCAGCGATGGTCTTGGAAGAGCACTGCGCCCTACGATGCCTTGACCAGCAGTCTTGTTTGGCATTGGGATCCCAGTGTTGGAATACAGCTGCGAGTTGCTGGACACTGGAATACTGCTACTGTTACTACTCCCTTGTACAGTTGGGCTTACATAGGCAGTAGCTTTGAGAGGCTGTCTGACAGACACTGGAAAATGTCCCACACTGTGAACTCGGTGTTGAAGCTGTCCTGGTGATGGAACTGTGAAGAGTGGTAGAAAACAAAGCAAGAAGGTCAGTATGCAACAAATAAGATCAGGTAGTAATGCTCATTTCAAGAGAGATCTGAATAAGGACTAACACATCATTATACAATTTACTTGCTGATTACAAACTGCTGAAAAACCTCTTAAATCCAATACTGTATCCAGTAACACTGCACTGAACTAAAATATCCTGTTCCACCCCCGTCCTGAAAAAAAATCCCAGTCCATATTCATCCTTCTTTCTCCCCTCAAAGAGATTAAATTAGCCATGATAAGCACACTAAATCCACCTACGCACTTAGAGCTTTAAACAGGAGAAACTGCTGAAGATATAAATTAGTCACTGTTAGGTGGTTTTGATTTCTGTGAGGTGGCATGCAACAACCACATCTTGTTCAAGCAACATTGCATTAAAGTATTATGAAGCATTACAGAAGTTTAAGCTTTATGCAGAAAAACAATAAAAAGGCTATAAAAGGTCTTGAATGTAACAGCATATTCCACAGCTGATGTTATGTAAACTATCATTTTAAATCAAGGCTATGAGCTCCAGAAGCTTTATATACAGATTTTTCTACCCAATCCTGCCCTCTGGTGTACATTTGGAAGGCTTCACTTTCAATATTCCAAAAGCAAACTGTCAACAGCCTGAAGCATATAAATTAAGACACTACATTTGGAGCAATCCTTTTTCAAGTCTTTGAAAAAAGGACATCTTTAAACCCTTTAAAGACACAGGAAAAATTGCAGGGGAGTGATTCAATTAAACTATACTACCAGTGTATTGTTATGGAACTCGTATCACAACATAACTCCTAAAATACCCCAGCACAGCCACTTAGTATGAATGTTTTTTTAAAAAAAGTATTTCAGAAAGATGGAATTTTATACACTCACATATGTAAGAGCATGAACACACAAATAAATATGTATTTCTAAAGTAATAAACAAAATTAAACTCTCAGTGCATGACCATGAAAATCCATGTGGGAACCTGAACTATTTCCATTCTCATATTCAAGCAGGAAAAAATACAACAAAATAACCCATCAGTCAACAATATTTTCCAGAAAAGAAGTAATTTAATTGTTTTGAAAACATTTATAAATTGTGCTCAAATTTGAAAGAAAACACCTACAGGAGAAGATTTTTGCCAACCTCTCCCTCCAAAATCTCACAGGAATTGCTCACATTCTACATTAATAATTCATCTACTAGACCAATACTTCCTTCACCCCCCACCATCAAGAAGTTACCTAAATTAAACCAATTACAGAGAAATTTTAATTCCTCCATCAACAAGTATATTATACTTGAGAATATAACCCTCTTTTTGCTGCATTTCCTCAGAAGAAAGTGGCTCAACTTCAGCAGTAGAGAGGTCATGTATTTCAAGACGCATTTATACAGTGTACTGTACAACCAGCACTGTATAAATTACCAAGAAAACCAGTTTTCAATTGTAGTATCAAAACTAAAAATGTGAGCTTACATGAATTAATTGCACTTTTGGTGTTTCCACAATATTATTATTTATTATTATTTCAGTTTTAATGCTGGTACAAGATGGGGAAAATAAAAAAAAGTGAAGAAACTTCCGGTAACAAGACTGGCAGAATTTGCTTTCCAAAACAGAAACTTTGAAAATCCTGGGGTACATTAAAACCTTGGCAAAAGAACAGTTTGCTTTTAATTTTGCATGGAACAAAGGATCAGTGGCCAGGACGTGTATTCTACCATTTTCTCCAGCTCTTGTGTGTCACTGTGATATTTTATGAAAATCCTTTTCCAAGGATTTTCTCCTGAGAAGATCAGAAGCCTCAGCAAAGAAATGTAAACAATAACTATCTGATGGCTGTGGAATGTGGTCTGGAGATGGTTTACCAACAGGTGCATCTTACATTGGTCTCATGTGAATTGTTTTTACTTGATGACCAATCATGGTCCAGCTGTGTCAAGGCTCTGAGCAGTCACGAGTTCTTATTATTCATTCCTTTCCTAGCCTTCTGATGTATCCTTTCTCTCCATAGTTTAGTATAGCACTTTATAATATAATATAATGTAATGTAAAGTAATGTAATGTAACATAAAAATATAATAAATCACCCTTCTAAGAAATATGGAGTCAGATTCATCTATTCCCTTGTCCTAGGTCCTGCAAAAACATCGATACTTGTGCTCAGCCAAAGAACACAGGTACTTACTACATGACTGCATCCTCGAAATCCCATTACTGGCTCCATGTAAATTGGAGTCAAAGCTCTGACTATTCCTCACAGTGACAGGAGAACCAGCAAAGCCAGCAGTACTGCTGATGGTGGGGGTGCTTGGCATCCGAGCGAGGTTAGGCATGCTTCTGCGGAGTTTGTCTGCAGCAAAAGAAGACAACATCCACGGTTAGGTCAGAACTTCCAACAAACACAAGCAGCCTCAGCATCAGCTCTGTGGAAAATCAGGAAATCAGAATTATAACAAACTATTTCAACAAAAAGAGAGGCTTTGCTCTACAAGAAGAATATTAATATGTTATTGACAGCCTTCAAACTGAACCATTATGTCTATTTTAACAGCATGATTATTCTCAAGTAATTTTAAAAACACCAATAGGCAGTACATTTGCAGAACTGCAAGGATTTAAACAATAAATAATGATGAGTTTCACATAGATGTGTAAAGTAGGTCAGGTGAACCATGCCCTAAATGTGCCTGTTTCTTCACAGTGAATACAAAAGCAAGTCTGCACTGGCAGTCAGATACAGCTATGTACTCTGTGGATGTGTAAAGACAGGCGAGAAGTCTTGCTTTCAGGTGCCACTAAATAACTCCATTCAGAATCTAACCTTGTTAAGTTTCTGCAGGCAGCCACATGCAAGAACTGTTAAGTCTTGATGCAGTTCAGTTGCTTGGAGCCCTGGGATGATATAAGAATTTTTACATCTGGTGCTTCTCCCTCCTACCTCACTTGTGGTACCTGACTTGGTAGGCATTTTCAGAGCTGTTTTTGTAGGTCTTTTCACAAAAAGAAAGCTGTAAATGCCCCGATGTTTTTGGGGCAGGTACAACAGCTAAGGCAAGTGTCTAAGAGGTCAGAAGACATCTTCAATCCCATTCACACCAGTTCATTTGAAGAGAGAAACTGAAACCTTCCTGACATCTCAAGGTAGCTTCCCAACCACAACACCAGGAGGTAATCTAAAGGAAAACTCTTCTGGTCTCTTCTGCCATCAGACCAAAGGGAGATGACTCAGTTATACGCAATCAGAAGGGACTGGGATGAAGGCACAGACTGAAGGACCCGGTCTTGTGACATGACAGACTCCAGTAAAGCACTGCTGTGGGAAAACAGTGGGCATTTATTCAATTGTCATTGACAACATCCCAAGGTTTGCCTCTTGGCCAGGTTCAGAAGCACAAGTCTGTGCCCTGCCGAGGTGGCTACGTCTCCCCTCACAGCATGGCCAGCACAGAGATCACCAGCTCCTGTTCCACATAGGTGCCAAAGGCTGGCAGATGACACAAAGACTTACACTTCTTACACTGCAACAGAAAGCAGGGGTGTGCTTGTCTTGTCACAGCAGCTACAAGGCTATAGACAGCAGGGCATTTCCAGACTGATGCTTTGGTTTTATGCGTAGGAACAACACAGCACACTGCTTGGAACTGCTGGCCATGGGTCGACCTCCTGCCTCTTGCAGGGCAAGTACAGTTCACAGAAACAGCAGATTTATTTAGAAATCTCTGTTGATCAGTCCACATAAATATGCAACCTATTTAGCACCATCATTAGCTCCTCTAATCCTTAAAGCTGCTAACAAGTGAAAAGTAGTAAGATGTGACAGAACAGTTCTATCTATACAAGTAATTAGGAGTCACTGACAGTAACTTCAATATATCTGATGCCTTCAATATATGTGACACTTCAATATATGTAACTCCAGCAGTCTATGTCACAGAAAGGCTGTATCTCCAGCAGGAAAAGTTAATGTAAGGTTTGAATCCCTGGAATCCAGAGTACAGTCAAATCCTAATAAAGAACTACAGTACGGACAATCTTTCACAAACGAGTTAGAATTGTGCTTCAGTGACTCACTACTGACAATGGCAGACAAACTGTCAAAGGTACAGAAGTGAACACTAGCAAGGGGGTTACCACTGTGGTGCAGCCAAGGTAGTAAGTATTAATATCAGTGATGTAACAATGATAAAACATTTATAAGGCTTCAAAAACTGTCCTGGGATGCAAACAATAGCACCCATGCAGCTACTGTATGTATCTATTTCTAAAATATTCAAGAATTTTGCAAACTGAAGAGGGAACTGTCACCCTATGATGCAATCCTTGAGCAAGAGCGGCAAAAAAAATCATGAATATCGGATGTCTGTAGCTACAGTTAATTCCGGAGTCCTAGCCTACCCTTTCGAAGTCCTAGCTCCTGAAATCCTAATTCAACATTACAGAACTTGGCAAAGAAAGGTTTGAGCAGCAGGATAGCGGTAAGGAAGACGGCACTGCATAAAATAGCTTTTTAAGTATCACGTTGTATAGCAGAATTCTTTGGACTCTACATGCTCTTTTCCTCTGAGACTGCATCAGCCATCCCAGGCATTATTTGTGCCTTGAACTGTCCAGTGGATGCAGCTACAATAGCAGAAAAACAGGTACGGAAGTAGCTTGGATTTCCTCCATGTCTTGGGTGGCCACGTCTTTTGCCTCCTGTTCATTAGTCCCTTCTTGTTCCAGCAGTTTGCTCTGCTGCTGATTCATTCAGTCCTCAGGCAGCAGATTCCTGCTGCACCTGCAAATTCTCATCCATCAAGCAGCTGTGTTACTTCTTTGATGGGTCCTTGTGTCTGCTGAGATAAATGGCCCTGAAAAGCAATGAAAACAGCGGGTCAGTTTTGTGTTTGGAGAAAACCCAGAAATGTTCGCCTTGATGGCATTTTGCAGCTTTCATCTTCATGGATGATGCATCTGCTTTTATCTCCTTCTTGAAGTTTGCTCTGTCACCTGCTTCCCTCCTAAGAACAGTAGAAACAGTCTTACAGACATTTTGTTTGTAAATGAAACGATGGCTCTTGTGAGCTTAATATGTGGAAGCAGAAGGTGGGAATTATGTGATTTTAATATTATTTCAGGCCACTGAGATGTGAATAGATATGAACTTGCTGAAAATTTATGAGAAGAGAACAAAAATATTTTTCCAAGCCGCTTTTCTTTTCAGATCTTTGCTGTCTTAAGACTGATGAGAAAATTAACAGAGAGGAGAAGGAATAGAGATGTATTCTCAGTTGAGAATAAATTTGCTCAAACATCCTGTTTGTGATGAACACTGGAATTTGCTACAGTTTCTGCTACCTCTTCTGCACTAATTTAGTTCAGTGAGAAACCTAAAAAAACTCATCAATTGCTTGCAGTTGTTTTTTTAGAAAGAAGTGGATAGTAACACCAGTAAGGGACTTCAAAGGACATACACCTGTTCAAGAAATGACTTGACGCGGCACTTGGTGCCATGGTCTAGTTGGCAAGGTGGTCACCAGTCAGTGACTGGAGTTGATGATCTCCAAGAGCATCCATAGTTATTACTGTGACCCACTACTGAGTTTCAACTATAACTTAGGCTGAAAAAATTATGATGTTTAGGTAGAATGCAGCCATACAGAGCATCACAGGTGTGTCTTCGCCTTTCCCAGCCTTCTTTGAGATAAAATATTATGACCTACAGACACTGTATTGTTGAGGTGTTTGTACATGTGAAGAAAATTCAAGAACAGGTCCTGCAAGGGGAGTTAATAATTGGTTTCTGGCTCTCACCACTTTCTAAGAATAATTCATGCATATACACACGTGCTTGTCACTTCATGAGCTTTCTTTAGGCAGCATACGTTGCCCTTTCACATATCTGCAGTAGAACTGCCCACTGCATGTTTACAATTTTCCCCATATGTGGCATCCATGCTGAATTAGCCTATTGCCTCTACAGCACAAGAAAAGCTGGGAACTGTGAAATACAGATCCTATGCCCTCAACTGAAAATGTACATGAAAAGGCCACCCCATAGCACAGATCGTATTCACTACTACTAGAAGCAGGTCAAAAAGCAGGAAAAAGTGCCCCTTCTTTGTCAAACATTCCACAAAATTACAGTGAAGACAACAGCTCGCCTCTCACCCAGCTGCCTCAGTTCTGATTTTTTGCCAGAAGTCCTTTCCCTGATGCTATTTCTTCTCTGAAGTCAGCTCAGGATCAGTGGCCCAGCTTCTTTCTGGCAGGACACCAGAACAGGCAGCACCTGCTTTCTGTCTTCTGATCCCCGCACCGCTGGTGGCTGTCCCCATTCCACTGCTGCTCTTCTTTTCCCTTCCCTGACCTAATACTATCACTGGCCAAAGATTAATTCCAGGTAGCACGCAAACAGACCTTGTCCTTGGAGCAAAGCTGCTCCAGAAGAGGTGCACTCTTGGTGGGCTGCCAGATGGGGACTTCTGTAGCAGTCCTTGGTCAGTATCATCTTCTATCTGCCAAAATGCCTCATCCAGTGAAGTTCTCCTTGCACAGAGGGCTTAAGTTGACTCTACAGTGAAGTCTCTTAAAACACATTTATTCCTTCAGTTATTCTCTGTGTTGTCAATGTTTTGTTTGAACAAAAGGACTCCCAAACCTCACCAAAAGCACAGAAATGTATCAGAATCAGAATTATTCGTGTCTCAGAGAAATCTGTATCAATGTCGGAGCTACCTTAGCAGTTTCTCACACATACTTAAATCTTTCACACAAATCTTGCAAATTCAATTCTGCCTTATGTGTATTGTATGCACAAACAGGGAGGGGTAAAACCATAAGGAAAAAAAACATGCCTCTCAGTTTTAAATATTATATTCTACATTATGTAGACATTCAGACTGTGTTCTGAAATCCTTTACAAACTTGTAGACTTTATAACAACTTTTCTTGTAGACTCTATTACAACTTTATGGGATTAATTTCTCTTCCTCATCTCTGAAGACCTGAGATGAGTATGTGCATTATATTTGTCACAGTTATAACATCTGTAACACCCCAAATATACCAGGGTCTTTTTAATGGTCTGTGGAATCACAAGCTGATACAACAGAGACATCAGTGTGTAAAAGCACAAATACAGATTAAAGCAATTCCTTCAGTTAAGTGAGTGATGTCATTCTCAATAAATGTCAATACCTACATTTTATTCAGAATTATTACTTCATCCCATACTGGTTTTACATGCATATGTCTCCCACCACAGATAGTTATAGCCAGTTAAAGATTTTTCCATTAGCCTTCCATGAGTTCTCCCACTGATCACTGTCCTCAATATAATTCAAAGGCAGCAAAATAATATTATTTTACTCCTTTTCTGTAATGAAGTCTGCAACAATTTCCTAGAAAGAATTTTTCCTTTCTTACCAAGCAAAAGAGGTTATGAGCAGAGAACACCTCATAAGTCTATGCTGAACCCATATCTAAACACTATGCACTGCTGCTCTTCTGTGTCTGCCTGGAGTTTGCTTAAAAAACCCAAACAACAAACAGAAACCACAGTTGCAGCAACAAACAGAAAGCACAACTGCAGCTCTCAAAATGAGGCAACTGCCAATGATGTCCATAATATTTTTGAAGTGTAGGCGAGAAAGTTACTCATAACTAGTAATTTCTGGAAAAGCAAATTTTTTCAAGAGGATGGTATCTGTGGCTTTTTTATGAAGGTATATGCCAAGCCAAAAACTTAAAAAGCAACGTGAAAAGGAAACAGAAAATATACATTAAGATTAACCAGACTGAATGCATTGCTACTCCACGAACCATATATTTTTCATCCATCCCTTCTTACTGTATTATAATAAACTCCTCCTTTACCTGAAATAATTTGTCCAAAATACAAAGCTTCCAATTTTCACATACTATAAACATGGACACTTTAAAATGCACATAAAATAAGTGGTGCCAAAAGGTTGTGAGCAAGGTGATCTTAAGAGATGGAAAGCAGGCCTGAACACAAGAAAATGAATCCCATTTTCAGTATCTTGTCTATCCTGGATCTTGATTACTCTGGATGATTTCACAGCACTATAATTAGCCATTACTTCTGGTTTCAGAAAATCAGAAGTGTAAAGGGCAAAAATACTATCAGCTAATTAATAAAATTACTAAACAGAAATAAAATATATTTTTAAAAAGTTGAAGTGAAAGCAATTACTTTTGCATCAAAGTAAGAAAAAGAATGTATACTTATGGACAACATAAAGCAGAAACCAGCTTGGTTTTACATATTTTGGTGGTACTTCTTCTATGAACATGATTATATATAAAGTATTCTTGATATTAATAGTTAGCAGTGTTTTAAGTTGCTAACCAGCAACTTCTTCAAATTAGACTAAGGGGAGAGAGACACAAGCATAAATCTTTCCACTGCAAACATATTAGAAACTTTATTAAAGCATAAAATACACACTAACTAGACAAACTCACTTCAGTTAATTGAAATAGATACTTAAAAGCTGTTCACATTCTCTCTCACATTTTCTTTAAATTATCTATTTTCTGACGCACCAACCAATTAGAAAATCCTCATAAATTGGAATACCTTAAAAAGTTCACAAATGGAATTTTTCTGATGTAATTCATCATTACAGAAAATTCAGCTGATTTAGGAAGAGGGTGTAATTCAATTTCATGAGGAAAACAAAACCAGACAGATTTCAGACAAAGCTTATCCATTACTATATTCTTGCCAGAACTGGCAATAAAACCTATTCAAAAGCTAAGATAACATACACACTCTAGAGACACTGTCTATGAAAATGCTGTTTAAAAGGTAATAACAAGTACACCACACCTACAGCTCATGCTACAAGTGGCCCCACATACACCTTAAACGCATTACAACCTATTTCACATCTAAGCATATTAAGATTGGCACACACCTGCCACTTCATGCTAGTGTTTGACCAGGAGCCTTCCAAGACAGCAAGCTGTTGGGGACTGGCAGTAAATGTGATTGACACCATTCATTCAGACATGAGTGGAATAAGGTGAAATAAAGTACCTGGACCTGAGAGTGGGGGTAACATGGTTTGGTATGGCCCAGAAGTATGTAATTTTACCTTCAAATAGATGTACAGCAATTTAAAACAGGGCAGAGTGTCAATATTACAGCAGGGGCAGCACTTTGCTACAATACATTGCCAAGAACAACATATGAGCTCACTAAAGTATAGCTTCAGACATAGCTAGAATACATCTAAGAGACTATACGCACACCCAGAAAAGGCAGAAGATCACTAGAGCACCAGAAACTGTAAGCCATTTATCTGCTACCTAAAATGCAGCCCTGTGGATGGAGAACAAGCAGACCTTTGGTTATAGTGAGAGATCAGACACCTGGTGCACAAGTCAGTGCCTATGTGAAGGTACCTCACAGCATCCCACAGATCCCGGGTTGTTTATGGAAGCTAAACAGCGTTGACACAGGGTGATGCTGAAGCCAGAGTGCATCAAAGCACCTCATGCAGCTCTATCCCAGCAGCTGAATTAGGCCCTTCATACAGAGGTGGGCACCCACATCCCAGCATTTAAATGTAGGTGCTTCTCATCAGGCAAACAATACTATACTCCTAAAGGAATTATTAGAGTTCTCCAGGTTTATCACACCTTCACCGTATTTTTCACATGCAGGTAATTAAGTACCTCACCTAAAGGACCATGCCAAACAAAGACCACCGAAAACAAGTAGGGCAGCATCCCTCAAAGTATTTGCCTAAAGGCAAAAAATTGTAATTAAGCTAAATATGTAGACTAGTTTAGCAGAAATACTGTGTCAAAGCTAAATACTGGGGTTTTTACCTCAGACTGAGTGTCAAAATTCAACAGTTACTTGCTGCTTGTTCTTTTACGAGAAGCTCTGTGAATGCCCAAATGAAGCAGAGGGCAGACCCTTGACTGCACATACAAGAACAAAAGTGACCTCTTTGGGGGAAGACAAAGGACTAAAGATTTAGGAAGACTGTTGGAATGGCCAAGAACAGCACAGCATGTGGCACGGGTGACTTAATTATTAATTACGGATCATGCTTTCCACATATACTGAAGGCAGAAACTAAAGGTTCAGTTTTTCCATCTTCCATATCCTTCCTTCCCAACTGCCCTCATAAACTGACAGTGTGGAACACACCATCCATCACAGAGAGCTTCAGACAAATTCTTGTTTTGCAGTCTACCTCCATTTCAGTGTGTAGGAATTCTTGAGAGACAATGAAATTGTTGCCAAGATGGTAAGTGCTGACAAGAAGATGTAATACTACACAGACATCCTCAGTACAGTGAACACTTGACTCCTCATCTCCTTGTCTGCCAAAAGAACACAGTCAAAGCAAAATGTTTCTCACCATCAATATTTGTCACTTACGTCAATCAGAGTCGCATGTGTTAGAGGCTGAAGCTGTAGAAGCTGAGGAGATCGTTCCCTCCTAAAGACAGTGGTACTGACTATGATAGCACTGTTTGTTATTCCTTCAGGTAACTGAAGTCACATGCCCAGCTTCTGGGTTATGCCAAACACATTATCCAACAGCTCAAAGTTCTTGAGAAAAAATCAACCAGGTGGTCTTTTACATTTGTACACTTCGTAGTTAATGAACTAGGAGTCTAATGTTTCTAGTACCTTAAAGGTTTCCATGCCTTTCCATGCAGGAAATCCAATGCTCAAGTTCCACTGACATGGAAGATTAAAAAAAAAGATCATTCAAAACACATTTGGGAGCCACATAAAAACATGGCAGCAACAAATCATTCTCTTATTCCTTAACAAAAATGCCCTAAAGCCTTCCTTTCTAACTCCCAACATTTCTGCAAGCCCAGCAATGCTGTCCCACTCTTGTACCTCCCCAACAAGAGAAGTAACATTAAAATTAATGTGGCACAAATGCTGTACCAACAGACACCCACACTGCTCTACCCTCTGTTAACATCACCTCTCCTTCTGTATTGCCACTTGTCAATGATACTTCCATGCCATGGCTTACTTTGAATAGAAGTGGTTTGGGCACCAACCTGTCATGTCTTGTTTGTCAAAAAAGCAACATGCATACCTGTAGCACCATAAATAGCAACTATATGTTGTTTTGAACAACACATTTATTTTCTTGCCCAAGGGTGAGCTGTAACCTGCAATGTTACAAACAAGACCCTGGCTGGAAATGGATTGTTTAGAATTAACTTAGGGGAAAGACTGAAGGTATAGGAAAGTAAAATGCAGACGAAAGAAGAAAAATTGTGATCATAATAAGGAAAGAAAAGAAGTTAACAGCAACAATGGAGAAAAACTTAAATAGTGAGTAAGCACCAAGATACAAATCTTCCATATTCTGGAATGTATCTCAAATGCAGTGCAAAAAAGCATCAATATCTCAGGATAGTTTGGGAGTGACATTATCTCCAACTACTTTAACAATCAGCTCTATCAGACCTGGAACAGAAGCAAAGTGCTATAAGCATTCATCACAGCACAGCTGCATTAACAGCAAACTCAGGAAAAAGAAAGGAAATTAATGCAGATCTATATTTTACTGCATCCACAATGGACATGCGTACATCAATCTTGAAAGCCCCAGAGGTTCTTCTAGCCAACTATTAGCCTGCTAAAACATGCTCTTCTTTACTTTCTGTTTCTTTCTTCACTTGGGGTCATCTTTGCAGCACTTTAAAACAGACTAAAGCAACAACTTTTATGATTAGGTCACAGATTACATTTTGTAGAAAACTGCTTAACAATAACATCCCTTCATCTTTTATGCAGGCTTAAATTATTTGCCACAATTTATGTACAATTCATCTTTAAAATGGCACTGGCACTTGGCAGAGAAAAGACCACTTCTCAGAAAAGCATGCAACCCACCTCCATTAATCCTATTTGGTTGCTGCTCTGGAGTTTGGGCTTGAGAAGAGTAGAAGGGCTGCTGATAAGTATTTGTAGGGAATTGCGGGGAAGTAGGGCTCCTCCTGCAGTCCCGGATACTGGAGAAAGTCTGTGAGTGAGGAATCCCTCTTTGGAAGGGGGAGCAGCGAGTCAGACGTGGCTGCGGAGGTGGAAGGTGGTCAAACTCTTCCTCATCCTCAAGACTATAGCGATCATATTCCTGGTCACTGGATGTCCCTTTTTTTCCCGCATGCAGAGAAACACTGGAAGTGTGCCTTGACACAGATGCTGAAGTTGAAGCATAATCTTGCCTAAGGCCTGTAAATTCCAAGAGGAGGATGATTCAGCTTCTGCTAAGTGATTAACTCTAAATATGCACTTCAATCTTGAAAGCTACACAGGTAAGTAGACAGAATTTTACATCAAGAATTGAATTTAAAATGTAATCAGGCTGAGGATCTGATGTAAGATTCATCTGATCTATCTTTCAGGCATCTAAGCCTGAATTCTCTCCTTCGAAATCTTTTTTAAAATAAAATACTAAAATAGAATACAGGAGTCTCCAAAAGGTGTCTTGGATGCCTTTCTTAAGAGGAACCACTCTCAGGAGGCACATATTTCTCTGCCAATAAGGACTACATGAGTACTAAGTTTTTAACTTCTCAATACTCTTAATTAGAGGAATTACACAGACATTAGTTTGCCAAGCTATTGCTATTGAACTTTTGTATTCGCGCAACAAAAATGTTTACAATGACATTTCTTAAACCTACAACCCATCTAAATCTTCTGGCTCTCCAACCTCCCTGAACAAGAATTAGTTCCTGATAGCATCCAGTCTCATGGAACAAGGCTTAGCAGTAACACAACTGTATTTTACACAGCTCAGAATGCCAGGCTTTCAAAACCATCTTACAATAAGCACTACCCTGTAAGAGCCTGTTTGCTCCAGGTCAAGTGAGAAGGAAACATTCACATCCCTTGCACATCCCTCCTTTCTCCAGATGCACAGCAACCAAGGAAAAAACACTGCACTCCCAGGAGCCAAGTAACTCTGAAGTAGCTGCAGGTAACAACCTCCCTAGACCTTCAAGAAGCCCTAAATTTTTAACAGATGCCTTTGCTTCATAATGGAAACTTTTTAATATGCTTCCTCTCCCTCTCCTCGAGTGGGAATTTCTATTTGTGGCTGTGAAGAGAGCATGCCTGCGTGCACGTATAGAACGGCCACTTTCCACGGGATTAAGTGGTCAACAACTGTCACATGCTCAAACATTCTCCACCAGCTGCTACTACAAGGAAGATATACAATCAATTTCACATGACACAAATTTGCAGAGAAACCAGCATTTTTCTTTCCAGTCTGCCAATGCCCTGATTCCTTAAAGAGCTACGTACCTGAAGATTTTTTAAACCTCACTCTGAAGGAGATGAGCACAGCTGTCATTTAAATAATGCAATCCTTTGTATCCTTGACAGTCATAACTTTTTTTCTTTTTGAAATTAGAACACTTGTTAATTTCTCTGCTTAACATGCATGCCACCAGATACTCAGCAAGCTCTCCTGCTGGCAGGTGATCACTCTGCCTGCCCAGTCTGGTGGCTTCAGCCAGATCACAGCTCTAATTTTTTTCTGCTCATGTTATTTTTTTTTTTTTTAAATAATCACTTATTACTTGGCATTTTCATTCAGGCCCCATCTGTGAATTTCTCTTGCTTTTAATCTCATCACTTCCTCCTTGATATCTCACTTGGCACTAACAGGACACAGGAGAAATACTCCACTTGTTGTCTCAGTAACCTCTAAGTCAAATGCCCTTTATTTATTAATAAAGACATTTTACAAAAATTACTATTAAGCCAAACTATATGTCAAAGAATACTCTAGGCTCAGATTTGTGCATAATTACTAGTTTTAAACCAAGATATTGAATTTAAAAGCCCCAATTCTGTATTTAAGTGGGATTTAATTTCAAAACTCATCTAAAAATATAAGAAAATTGAAGTGCAGGCAAAGAATGCCAAGAGAGCTGCTTATTTTTACCTATCTCATTACAGCATGCATGAGAAAAATGCTTTAGGATCTTCCCTCTCCAGAAATAAAATTATTTCACTTAATATTCAGAAAAATATAAATATCAAATTTTGAAAGATCCAGTACCAGTTCAGATTAAAATGAACCCAACAACATGCACACCTTCTCCATGCAGGTGAAGAGTACTTCCACCTGCCGCTCAAGAGGCAATACCACTTCAAAAATATTTACTTCACTGAGACCAGACTGGAGCAGTTTTAACTGTTATGGGAAGTCTTCCTCAGACTGTTACGAAAACCAAAAAAGTGCCACCTACTCTCCTCCTGTAGACGAGCCATGATCTGAACATCAGTGAGGTCCTGCAGCTTGTATCCCATGGAGATGGAATCATCTTCCAGCTCCGAAGTGCTCAGTTCACTGTCTATCGATGACTGTGGACTCAAAGGGGAACTCCTAGAAATGTACCCTAAGTAAGAAAACATACACTTTAGGCTACAAATGTCTGGCCACCTTCATTCAGAATCATCTGCTCTTGACATCACAGTAGCTTAAAACATTTTCTGAATAGCACATAAAAACTTTCAGAAGTGCAGTTCAATTCCCTAACAATTAGCAAAGAGCTTTGATATTCATGAGAAGTAGTAAGTGTAGGAATGGATCATGGATTCCTCAGCTTGTTCCCAAAATAGCATTGCATAGCCCAGACAATGAATAATTTACCCAATACAGTTCTGATACAGCTCAGATTAGTGTAGTCTAACCACCATCTGCATTTGCATCTCTCTTACGGGACTGTGATTCTCCCTACTCTGTTTTGCAAAACAAGTGGATATGTGTCACTGACTTCTGCTCACTACTCAAACGTTGCATCAGAGCCATTTAGTTAAATTTCACTATTCTTTTTTTAAACTATCTATAATTATCACATAAATCAATCACAGTAACAACTAAGGTTGAACATTATGCAACAAAGAAAGCCTTGCTTCCTTCACAGAGCTACCTTTTTGAAAGGCTCTGGATTCTACTTTTCCCTGGAGTGTTATAGTAAAATATAAACTAATTTGCAATTAGTTTATATGTGAGCTAGTTGTTGTCCAACTTTAAAGAAAAATCCCATCAACTAAAACAGTAAATAATTTTCTAATGTCCTCTGGACCATCGGAGACCCACAGCCTGCACGGCAAGAACTGCTGTGACTATGGCTCACCAGCTGTGCTTGTATCACAGGTGTGTTTGCATCCTCTAGCACTGCTGAAAGCAGCCACCTAAAATTCATCCTAAATTAAGCTATTTTTTAATAATATCTCCAAAAGAAAAGGACAGGCAGGGGGTTACTTTGCTTTGGAAGGATTGCATGGAGCAAATGTGTTTGCTTTCTTAAATGTGCACTTTGCAGCAGTCCCTGAGGTTCTGCAGAGGTAGTAACAGCTGTGCTCTTTTGGAGCAGCAGAGGGAAGCTAGACAAGGTATCTGAGAGTATCTCAAATAGCATGAGTTTATTTAGGAACTAGGCTTCATCCCATTGAATAGGGAAGACGTTTCACTCACATGCAGATAGCTACAGCAGGTGCTCCATCTGGAGCTGTTTCTCACTCACAGTGCCCATATCCCTTAAAATAGGGATTTCTGCAGTGATTTCAAGCACTGAAATGCATACAGATGGGTGTGACACTGATCATGAGCCCATCCTCAGCCCAAGTCTGTTCCTGCCAGCAATAAAATGTTAATGCCTCTCGCCCAGAAGATTGTTTTCTCCACTGCCACTGCAGTTTAAGAGAAGCCACAGATACAAACTGACTCCTGATATCTGTAGTGAAGAAGGAAAATGCAAATCCTTGCAATTTACAGACCACCAAAAGTTTTCTATTTTCCTAGAACTTACTTGTGTGTTCCCTGAAAAATAGTGGAAAACATAAAATAAATCTTGAACACCAGCAACAATACCAGATTGAAAACAGGCATGATTCTGCCAGCTTTTATTATGAATTCTCACTGCCAATTTCATTACACAGATGTACATATGTTTCTGTGGACACAAGGAAGGGGCACCATGGGGCAGAAATAAGCAACAAAGGTGGGGATTGTTTAAGCTAACACAGTCACAACTGTTCTACTGGGTAAATCATTAGTGGTACTTACTAGCATCACTCTCCCGTAACATGCTGCATAACACTTGTAGTTAACAGCCAAATTTTAGGCCATCAAAAAAAAAAACCCCAAACTACAATTTCCCTCTGAGATATGAGTTCACATACAATCATCCAAAAAGAGTACTGCTGTTAAATGCTAGCAGGATTAGATAAAATCAAGCACTTTTGTAAGCACCGTAAATCAATAAAAAGATAAGCATTACCTGTCCGTTCGGGTGTTAGTATTGCTTTACTGGAAGTTTTAGAGAAGCTGGGACTGTTACAGCCATTGGTATATGGGGTGAGTCTTGCAACAGGACTATAGGGAAAAGCCAAGGAGACAGGCGTAGAGAAGAGGTTCCGCCATCGGCTAGCTGTTATGGATGCGAGGGAGGAGGGGGAGAAAACAAGATTTACAGTTATTAATAGAACAGTACTGTCAGAGAGAAAAATCATCTCATCTTAATCTGGTCATCATACATTTTTTACTTATTACAAGAGGAAAAAAATGGTGAAAATTCAGCAGCGAATCAGAGGATCAGCACAGTTTTCTGCATGTAAAAGTGAGCTCTAAAAGGTTTTCTAACAAATATATCTATTGACTATATTTTGCATGTACACGTTTTTGGTATATATTCATCACAGACATCACTGGGTGACCAACACACAAATAACAGAGGAAGTAAAAACTGCTACAGTTAGCAGAGAAGCGAAAATTAAATTTATAGTGCTCTTCAAGGAATTGTTCATGACAATTAATCATCACACAACTGAATTAGCAGCTAAATTATCAGTTATGGGAGTTCAGAAACAGAGCAGTAAAAGATGCTTAACCATCAAGTGCTAAAAACAACTGTAATCCCATAGCAAGCTTTTAAGCTACCATATTTTCCCTTCTCTTTTTACACCACCAAATTCCTGACTGCATAAGCATGATTTTTTTTCCCCCCACTGTTTCTGGAATAACAGAACAAGGCACCCCTTTTTCTATACACTGTTTACAAAAAGCTTGCAAGGCATCTAGTCTTCTAAGCAATATCATAAAGCACTCACAGTTGGCAAAAATAAAGCTAAAGGCTTATTTCATTTACATTTATTTAATTTACATTTTCTTACTCACCCAGTAAAAGTATTAATATAACTGTCCTTTGTTTTGCCTATTTTACATACCTTGAAAAAGTAAAATAAAAAACATTCACACTCTCTTCCAAAAATAAATAAATATTAGTTATAAAATCTTTTTTTAAAAAAAGGAAAATTTTAAAATATATAAGTTTCAGAGAACTCATACAGATACAAGGAAAGATGAAAAACATACAATGGGATTGCTTTTTTTTTTAAATAGAATCTATTTTCTACTCACAGATGTTATGTATAGTGAGACAAGAGAAAATACACCTAGCTTTGAAATCAATGGCATAACCTCAATGCTCAGCAGGTGTTCTTTGCAGTGCCAGATGCCACAAATTGATTTTCAAACCAGAAGGGTCGAAAAGCCCCCAAAAGCCATTCTCCATCACATGGCTACTTAATACCACAATCTGCGGTGTATTTGGACTGTTCATCTGGTCATTTTACACACTAACAGCCATTCAAATAATACTCAAGTTTTCTGTTTTCAAACCTCCCTACCACCAAAATTATTTATCAGGACACACTAGCTTTATTCCTCCTTCTTGCTAACATCAACTTCAAGTAGCCATGGGAAGGATATCTTGGCAGGTTGTCAATCACAGCCTCACAACTTTTGGAGTAATCAGTTTGTCACCAATCCAAACAGTGCCATTTCTCCTCCTATTCCTTTTGCTTTGACCTACTTAAATGTATCCTGGATTTTCAAGCAGTAAAAACCTTTAAAACTCAACAAGTGCTACTGAGCTTGGAATGAAGACAACTGCCTGGTTCCAGCCCAGGCACAAAGCAGTCTGCTGGGGACAGGGATTACCTGCAGGGCTCAGGCTCTGAAGAAGGTAGTTTAGTACACATAAGTAACATAAAAAAATCCAAACTGTGTTCTTTGCTGTCCCCTCATTGAAGAATTATTGCAATTCTCCCATTTTTGGTGAGTCTAGTTCCTTCAAGCTCAAAGAAACCCAAAGTTCTGAGATCTTTAAAGGCAGCATTGGCATCACTTTCAGGAAATTGCTCAATGCCAACCAAGGCACACAACACAACCTTCCCAGCGGGACTGCTTGTCCTCAACATTCACTAAGGTGATCAGTTCTGAAGTGAAGCATGCGAGTGTCTCACGACAAAAAAGAGAACAAACACAGTTGAACATAACTCTACCAACGAGCAATTTACATGAGTCCCTGGGGATGAGATTAATTCACTAGGTGTTAATAACAGCAAATTGATCAGAGGCATTCACTGAAAGAAATCCATATAGTAAGAGTAAATCTCAGTATCACATCCACAGCTAATGTCTGTCATTTCTACCAGGAACCATCAATAAGAGCAAGGGATGACAGTTGCCTGAGATTTCATTTTCCTGCCTAGGACAAGGTACCGCTTTGTAGCAGCCTGGTCATTTGCCAGGCCAATTAGCTGCCAGCATGTTCTCACCCCCAGATGTGGTCAGGCACACAGCATAAATAAACATCATTCATTACCCTCTACAATAACCACTGTGAGCTGGCCCACTGAGCACAAGGCAACAGTTATCGCGACTCTGAAAGCAAGAACCCACACCAAGAATTTAATTAGTATTATGGCCAACCAGATTTCAAACTCCCCTTTCAAACAGCATGTGTTCTCAGGGATGTGTTCTCAGGGAAAGATGGATGGAAGGATGGATGGGGCCAAGAAGCTCTATCTACACTAACCTCTATATATACTAAATCTCTAGGGATACCAATGTAAAATATTCCCAATTCTACAAACTTCTCCCACTGTGACTAACATAAAACTTTCTAGTTTAAGCATCAGGAAATCATGGATACTTTTTTGGCTTACGAGTAAATCCACTGTTTAGGATCAAATATAGAAAACAGCTTTCATTAGGTTTCAAATGGAAATATCAATGTACATATTGTGCACTTTACCGTACTAACAAAGACAGCAAAATTTGACTTACCGAAGTCTTGTGCTAATGCCAAAACCATAAAAAGGTATGTAGGAAGTGAGTGCTATAGACATGTAAGCAAGTATGTAAATTCATGTAAAATTTGTCAAATCCCAAAACTGTGCAATGGATAGTCATTTTAGAACACTTATTTTGCTCCAAACTGAATGTGAGACTGTCCTGGTTAGCATGATAGGCACCACTCTGCTACTCATGGATGAGACAATGCTGTTAAGACCTTTACATTAAGTTTAAAATCCCAGCTGTTCAGCTCTGAATTTTACAGTATTTGTAGCTTCTTCTTAAAGCCCCAATGCCAGTTACCTGCAGATGAAGATGATCAGGTACCCATTATAAACAAAGTTTCTAATCTTTGCAGTTGAATAGAAACATAGATAATTCTACTCTGAGTAACTTATACTGAAGATGCATTGAAGGAAGGAAGAGATTCAGCCATGAAAAGGAAAGCAGGGGCATCTAAAACAACAACCAAGAGAAAAGAAGGCAAAAAATCCATTTCAATTGCTGACATCAAAGACATAAACACTTTAAATTTCACTTCTTGAAGCATTAAGGTGGTGGAATGAATATTGTAATAAAATAACCATAAATTGTCCCAGTCATCTTAAGTCTACAGCTATTAGAAGTCCAACTTTTTGCATATTATTTCCTTGGTTTTGATAAATTCTTAATAACTAGACTGCTGATAATGCACTGTGTTACACAGTACCTACTCTAATATGTTAAAGAAAGGACTTTCAAACTGACCACGCAAGAAAGCAACCAAAACCTTTCCTTCCAAAAATAAAATCAGCAACAAGTGAGACTGCTCGCACCTTTTAAATATTTACTAACAGAACTGAAGGTTTAAAAATTAATTAACTTTATTTTTATAACATCCCTGGAGATATCAAAATGCTAAAACAGATGAAAATAGTAACTCAAATAGGAAAATATGAGCAAGTAATTAAAATATAAAAATATTCATCATACTGACTCCAGTGAATAATCAGTATTTAATAAGAACTGCTGTAAAATTTCACATGAAAGTCTGAACAAGTGAACATCCACAGAACTGCAGCACTCAAAAGGAACCACACACCCTGCAAAACCACAGGATTCTGTACCATCTTTAAAGCAATTCCTTCCTAAAACTAATTCTTCATTTAAGCTACATAAGGTAAAAAAATCCTAAACACACACAGAAGCATGTTTTTGAAAGGGAAGATGAAATTTGCTATTTAAATTACTGGGAATGTTCATCAGCTGGAACACAAGGTAATAATGGGTAGAGATCCTTGTTATGTTGTTTTAGTTGTGAGGGATTACACTGGTGTGAACAGGGACAGTTCAAGAACAGGTCCTCTAGCTGAGGAATCAGATACACCTAGAACATCATATGTGATATATCTAGGACATGTGGATGACCTGTTCCTCTGGGAACAGGTTGCCCAGAGAGGTTGTGGAGTCTCCCCCACCGGAGATACTTGAAAGCCATATGGACACAACCCTGTGCAACGTGTTATAGGACAACCCTGCCTCAGCAGGGAGGTTGGACCAATTGACCCACTACGGTCCCTTCCAGCTTGACCCCTTTTGTGCTTCTGTTCTCATATTAGCTAAGGTATAAGGGTTTCCAAGAAACCAAACAAAATACATGCACATTTTAAACACCTTCCCATTTTCAGAATTCCATTATGAAACTCAGTGAGCTCAGTTTGCCAGAACAAGAACTTTCTTTCACTCTAAGCAAGACAAGTAAACAGTATTTTTTTTGCTATAAAGACAGAAAACAATCAAATCATATATATCAGTGTTGTACTACAGTACTACTGACCAAACATGCGAAATTATATGAGGCATCATCTGGCTTGTTTATCCACTCAATTAGTTAACTTCTGTATAGCCCTCCAGGCAAAGTCAAAAATACTTTTTAAGCTCAAGCTTAAAACAAATTATATTGCATACATGCAGACATTTGAATATGGGTTCTAATTACAAAGCCTGAAAAAATCCTCTTTCGAGCCAGCATTGGAGGAACATTTACAATACTGTCAATCCACAGTACTGCAAATAATTTCCTGCCAACACAATTTCTTTAGAGCAGAAAACCCAAACCACTTCCCTGGTGTATTCTGCATATGTGTGGTTGCACAGCAGCCACACTTAAAAGAAAAATCTCTCTCATGGGAGTACAATACAGAGACCTACATGGAAAACAGAAACATTTAGCTGATCACAGGAGAAAATACGGAGTATTAGAAGGGAATTCAAAACCCTCTCTTTACCATAGATAAGAATGCCTAAGCC